TTGTCAGAATTACATACAGACAACTGTTCACTTGATAGGGAACTAATTCGCGCTCACACCACGCACGCCCTACCATGGCACCGTTGTAGTTGTCGTCCTTACGCGACAACAGCTGAGATGCAGTGGCGTCTAAGATAGAGCTTGTATTAGCAGTGGCTTGACCGGTGGTGAGTGTGGTGGGGGTGGCCAGGAGAGTCGCTGACAGGGGGTCTATGGAACTACGCCGCGTGCTTGTGTTGTCCTTCCCTTTTGAATCTATCAGAATGGGTTGACAAGAGCAGTGTGAGATGCGATGAGACCGTTTCCTGTCGTAGTCTCGATCAAACACATAGCCCGATGTATACAAACGGTTGGCTATGACATAGTCCTTCCTATGTATACCATCGGTTGCCTATGATCATGGGTCCCAAAAACGGGGCAATTCAGAGGCGCAAAGCGGGTTGCAGCGCTTTTGTGAACAGGAGTTGAGACCAGTCATCGAGGATGGGTGAAATGAGAGGAGTACTCACAAGGCTGTGCTGATCCCAGGCAATGCGTTCGTATGGTTTCGTTCAAAACAAAGCGAACACAGCACATACACACGCACAGGCACATGATTGCCAACTAACATGCATTCATGCAAACAGCAATCCACACGCACACGCACATCTACCAACTCAGTTGAACAACCAATACACTTTAGCCACATCACACGCACATCTACCAACTCAGTTAAACAACCAATACGCTTCAGCCACAACACACGCACATCTACCAACTGCACTACACTACAGTCACGTCAGCTCACAGCAGCTAAACAACCAATACACTTTAGCCACATCACACGCACATTTACCAACTGCACTACTCTACAGTCACGTCAGCTCACAGCCGCTCACGCACCGTCTGTCTCTGTCGCTTTCTTCTCCGCAGTGGTCCTGTCAGCTCTGACGTCATCGTCTTGTGCACGTGACGTCCCGTCAACGGAGACATGCGATGGATCAGGCACTGTCCTGGTTGTCTCACCCCCTCTCAGGCTGTCTGCTTCTGTGTGGACAGTGTCGGTTTGACCATGCACGCCACATGTTGGGTGAGAGAGGATGTTGATGTTAAGGTAGTGGATGCCAGTGATACAGTAGTGGGTGTGAGTGTCAAAGAAGTGTTTGAGGTTATTTGAGTTGGCGTTGTGGACGGTTGTATTGAAGTGTAACTTGAGGTCGTTATTATTGAAGCTGTGGTATGCGACTGTGCATGTTGGATCATCGAACACATACACAGAACAAGCATACGTGTTTGTATGAACACATACACATAGAATAAGCATACGTGTTTGAATACACTGATTCTCGCCCACACAATACATACCTCCTGTGCCACCATTGGCTGAACCCTTCTGTTGTCACAGTCCCAGTACAATTACCGTACAATGTATTTTCCAACATACATATGGATACAGATATAGATGCCCATATTCACACACATAGGCATGTACGTTTAGTTCTGCGCGCACACACACGTACACACTCATAGTTCTTCCAACATACATATGGATACAGACATAGATGCACATATTCACACACATAAGAATATACGTTTAGTTCTGCGCACACACACACGTACAAACTCATCGTACACACACACGTACACACTCCTCGTACACACACACCATGAGTCGCTGTGTTGATTCCACATAAATCGCTCACGTCATTAGCGCCTTTGCCTGTGCTTAGAGAATAATCTGACACAAAATATATAAATAAAGATAAGACACGGGAGAGAAGTGACTATATCTACAAGGGTAGGTATACCCATACAGCCCATGAGTTCACGTGACTATGTCTACCAGGGTAGGTATACCCATACAGCCCACGAGTTCACGTGACTATATCTACCAGGGTAGGTATACCCATACAGCCCTCGAGTTCACGTGACTATATCTACAAGGGTAAGTATATTCATACAGCCCGTCACACAGCTAGAATCCCCAGATGCTCTTATATGTTCTATCGCACATCTTAATAAAGGCTGAGAACAGTGGTGTACATGATGTACGCACCAGTCTATGAGTGGTGCAGTAACTTGCATGCGTGTATGGGTGGTGCACATACCTCCGCACTCCCTCCATTCAAGTATATACACACGTGTAGGTATTTATAGATACCTACCTACACCTCAGGTATACACACACGTGTAGCTATTTATAGATACCTACCTACATCTCTTTTTATACACACGTTTAGCTATTTACAGATACCTACCTACACCGGTTATGACATCGTGTGGCAATCCGGAGCAGCGATCACTGGACGATGGTTTGTAGTGCGAAGAATGATGAGTCAGCGAGAGAGGAGGTAATGCAGTAACTGCTATCTGGAGCAAGCCAACAGTTGGAGGGATGGCAGCTATATGTGGTTATAGTAAAACTACAGTTGGTGAGACAGTAGTGAGAGTGTGAATGATGATATGTAGGGTGAGGATGTGAATTTCAATATATATATATATATATATATTTGTCAACGCACAGCAAACATACTCGTGCAGAATTGAACTGACGGGTGGCGTGGCTGGAGTAGTGCCGAGTCCATTAGAGCCAGAATACCGAACCCCGGCGTAGAGCATGTCTTGGTTGCTCATCATATGCTGTCCAATCATTTGTGCGCGCATCGCCCGATCCTGAAGTAAACAAAGAAATGTATATGTAGATTAATAACACTATCCTATATATATATATATATATATATAATATATATATATATACTATATATATACTATATATACATATA